CAGCATGTATATTATGTATAAACCTCCAGTTCAAGGGCAATTAGGAAAAAATGCTTCTTCTCAATCACACCCATGCATTTTTGGATCATAAAACATCTCACATAAACACATAAATGACCATGCAGACATCTAACACAAGCAACACTGAGAAAAACAGACTTATTTTCTCATTGAGCAGCATCTTTTGAATTGCACAGTGGGTTTTGAATGAGATTTCAGAAGATTGTGAAACTCCTTTTGGAGCCCACTCGGCATGGCAAAGAAGTGGTAAAAAACAACACCACAATTACCAAAAAATAGAACAGTATCGGCAGGGTGCACCATTGAAAATTGAGGGGGAAAAAAACCCCAGAACTCTCAAAAATGAACTTTTTGTAGTTTAATTTAATTTTTTGCATGTTGTAGGTCATCCTCTTTCAACCCCCCAAAAGAGAAACAACTCATAGCTCAGTTTAGCCTGCCTAACAGGCATCATTTCTAAAGTTATGATATGTTGTATTGCATAACCGTTTTCTAGCCATTCTAGTGATGTGGCTTTAGGGATGGCAATGGCAATTCTGGTCTGTCAGTCAGTCCACCACTTTGGTCTAGACTTTAAGACATCAACAACCAAATGAGGCTAACATTTCTGTTTTTGAGTGAAATGTCTCAACAATTGTTGGATGGATTGCCACAAAGTTGCATCCTCCCAAAATCATCTTCTCCTCAGGTTGAATTATCACTTTGGGGGCCAAAGACGAATGAGACTAATGATCAACCTTTGCTGTACTTTCTGTTTTGTGCTAATTATCGAGCATGCTCCAAGCTAAGCATCAATGGTGCAAACCAACTCGTAAGTCATAGGTGTCTCGTTAAGCTACCTGGTTACTAAAAGTTAATCCTGACGTACCAGCCAATCACTGACAAAGATAGTTGTTGTTTGGATAATTTTAGCTTAAAAAATAACGCAAAGTATTTTTCATTCTGATATTAGGGCTCATGAAGGCTTGTTGAGTCTCATTTCTAAAGGTCAATTTAATACGAATTTTGTGTGTGTCTGTTTCTGTTATGAATCTTGTGCATTATGCAAGTGTGTGTGTGTGTGTGTGTGTGTGTGTGTGTGTGTCAGTGGATGATCGAGGTGGGGGATTCCCGTAGTGACCAGTTAACAGTGTATGAGTGTGTGCGTGTGTGTGTGTGTCTCCAATCCATCATCACACACACTTCCCTCTTTCAGTGTGTTCAAAAATAGAACGGTGTGTGAACATGACCTCTCCCACACATAAACACACACCTACACACACACACACACGCACACACACACACACAAACATACACTCTAGTAAACACACCCTTTACGATGCCATTGTGTCTTGGCTTCTTGTCCAGAATGTTGGTGTGTGTTTTGTTTGTGTGTGTGTGTGTGTGTGTGTGTGTGTGTGTGTATTTTTGTGCACGTGTATTATCAAGAGTTATAAGAAAAAATGTCCCTCTGCCATGTACTCCCTCCTTCTTTCTCTCTCTGTCTCTCTTTTCTTTCTCGCCACAAAGTCTGGAGCTACTGCCAAATTTCCTTTGTGGCAAAGGTGTGGTGCCATGACACTGTCTCTGTCTCTCTCGCTCTCTCTCACACACACACAGACACGCACGCACAAACAAACACACGTTACTCCTTGTTTTGTTATAGACACATCTACACTGGACGGGACATTAAGTGATAATGAACTCTATGGTATCCGGATAAAACAACAGATGAGGTGGATGTGAAGAACACGTGGATGCCAGGCGATGTTTTGTCTGCTCATTTCCAGATCATTATTTCCAAACACACCTCTGATTACATTGTCATATACAAAAGCAAAAATGGATTTAGAAAGGGAGGCTGCTACTTTAGGGATGGGGATGTTTTACACAGAGATTCATGGTCCCCAGAGGATGAAATCTGGTGGTTACATCAAGCACAGGTCTAAAAATCCCCTTATGCTGTACTGCTTCATGATAAGATACCTTTGCTTTTATTCAAAATAGAATTCTAACTGTAGAGGTCAAAAAAATAAAATGGGGATTTTGATTAGAAGATTGATACCACACTGCGTGTGTCTTCAGTATGGAGATGGAGTTTGAAATGTAGCCTATTAAGACCTGCCTGAGGAGATGAGGTGTGCAGAATCAGTAATCTCTTTTAAATTAATTCTTAAAACCAATTTTTACAGACTGTCTTTTATGTGATGTCGGCGCTTTACTGTTTTATTTCATTATTGATATTATTATTATGTAATATATTTTATTGTATTTTATTTTACAAAATTATTTTCTTTTTTCTTTTCTTTCTTAGTTTATTTTTATCGAATCAATTGTTTTCATGTTTCCTCTATTATACTGTTTTATCAGGGTTTAACTCTTACATTAGTTTGTCTTGCTATGTTGAGCGTCACTGTCGAGCTTTCTGTTGTCTTACTTTTGCTAATAATATAATATAATATAATATAATATAATGAAGTTATATTAAAGATCCCAAATTAATATGTTATATATCTTTTTTTTTTAAAGAAACTATCCAAAAACAGAAATGTAATGACTACAATTTATGCAGAAGAACTTCATGTAGAAACAGCCTCTTGGCTAGAGTTAATTCATCCGCACTGGGAGAACGGCTACAGCGCAGGTTGCCAGATCAGGCATTTACTAATGGCATCAATCTTCATGTCCCACTGATGGAAAGGAAACAAATATGTTCATATATGTATTCTTTTAAATGTCTTCAATTGAATTGAGTGACTGTAGATTTACAGAATTAACCAGTCCTTTATCCCATATTGTTGTATTTAGATTAATTTATTGCTGGTGTGATGCCTTATTTTATCATTTACGATTTTACAAATTATCTTTAGATTCAGTTGCAGTTTAGCATGTTTTAAGTTAAGTCTTTATATTTGCTTTTTTTTTTAGATTGTCTTTATTGTCTTGTGTACACAGGGTGCCCATGCAGAAGAGAATAAAATACTCTATGGACCAGATGCACAACTCTTAAAACCAACTTACACTATTTTCATAGTATTTTCAATGATGTATAGGCTACAATAAGACATTATAATACATACTAATCAAAGGGGCATAAGATAAGTTAAGATAAGATAAGATAATTCTTTATTAGTGCCGCAGTGGGGAAATTTACAGGATCACAGCAGCAAAGTGGACAGTGCACACAAGATACAGAGTGAAAAACAAGAGCAACAAGTAATATAAATAAGTAAATAAGTTATAAACATACATTTCAAAAAGAAGCTGAAAGCAGAAGTTGAGACTCTCAGCTGCTCAACTATGAACTACTATGAACTTAAATGTGTATTGTTTCAAGGCGTACAGATACACACACGTCAATGCATTTACTACTCTTACAAACAATTACATAAAGATGCAGCAGATACACACACAGACACACACACACACACAAGGAGCCTGGGACAGCAGTGATAAGTAGGAGTAGTTCCTGGTTGGTGGAGCAGGAGGCTCTGAGACGCCGCAGCAGTCTCCCCGTAGCTGGGCGTGGGGAGGAAAGTAAGTGTATACTGTGTGTGCACGTGTGTGTGCGCGTGTGTGTGCGTGTGTGTGTGTGTGCAGGGGGTCATTACATTGTGGTGGAGGGAGGGGGGTGGGGGCATGTCCTTGGCAGACAGACAAACTCACCACATACAATATTCATCTTAAGAGGTTGTTTAGTTGAGGGAAGAGTTTGAAAATAACATACGACATTAAAGCAACTTTTTCCTCTCATATTCACTGAGTAGACAGTAGTTGTATCAGTTGTATCATATTTTTGCACCAACATATAAAACATACATGATAAAGTGTGACAACAACACAGTCAAACAAATTCAACAAGCCGTCAAAATCCAATAAACTTTTCACAATGCCCATATTTGTTTCATCATCTTCCTGGATTCATCTGCTCACATCTCAACACCGTTCTGTGGCTGCGATAACTGAAACAAGATAAAGTTCGACATGAATCCTTCGAATGTTTAATCTAATATCACTATCAATTGTTTTTGGCATTTGAACTATTGATTAATAAACTAATTGTTTCATCACTACATGCAACATGCCTATTTCGTGTTCTAATTCACAGCGCAGTTCAGTATTTTATGCGAGCAACTGGCTGCTGCATCAATCAAATCTGGAACCTTAACTGTTGCAGCACAATATGCCTGAACCACCATCAGCTTCACCACCCAATCCCCGACCCTACCCCCTGACTGCCCCTCTTCTTCTTCTTCTTCTTCTTCTCTCTCTCTCTCAGTTAGTTGTTGTTAAACTCAGCCACAAATCGCTTTGGTTGGGACTGTGGTTGACTGTGTTACCGCTGCTCTGCCCTCAAGTATATACATACACATACACACACACACGCACACACACACACACACACAACACAATGTATACTATCTGTGTGCGTTTTCATGTTTTGTCTCTCATTTGTGTACAAATGTAATTATAAATGTGTTGTCTTGGTCTCATTTAGATGTGTGCGCTTGTTTCACACATGTGTGTATCTGTGCCAATGTGTGTGCGTGTGTGTGTGTGTGTGTGTGAATCCGTGTGTGTGTATATGTGTGCTATAGTTTGCATGCATGTGGGCCTTGAATAAGTGTGTGAGAAGCTTCATTCTCAGTCGGGCAGAAACAATGGAACCTCTATGATTACATCTCCCTGTTCAGGCGGACAGGGTGTGTGTGTGTGTGTGTGTGTGTGTGTGTGTGTGTGAATGTGTGTGTGTGTGTGTGTGTGTGAAGCTTCAGGGGGGAGAAAAGTGTGGCGGTCGTGGAGGAGGAAAGAGGGGGAGGCAACGTTTGGACCTGCCCCCATCCCTTCTTTGCTCTCCCACACACACTGGTCTCTTCCTCTTGTGCCCGCCTGGCATCTCATTGGTTGAGTCCCCCGGCTATATATTTATGTGATTGGTCAGGGCGGGGTATATATATTCAGCATGGGTCGGTTAAATCTGGCCACAAGTTTCAAAACTTTCAAAGAGGGCAGACAGACAGAGAGACAGTGAGTCGGACGGTCCATGTGACGGAGGAGAGTCAATTTGGACAAACCACTGCACCACAGACTCCAAGCAAGAACTGTTGTCTTTTGAGGGGAACAAAACAGAGTGAAGAGAAGAGAGGCAGAATCATTGTGGATCCTTTCCAGGGGGAACATCCTGCACCACAACGTGTTTGTTTTCTCTTTCGTTCTTATATCCCGACTCCTCTCAGATCTCGATGCTTTGCTTTGGGATTTGTGCTCCAAATCAATCACATTCCTCTCTTGATCTTTCTCTTTGTCATCTGAAACATTTTGAGCAACATTTTTTTTCCAGAACTTTGCTACCCAAAAAACTGAGACAGACGTTTGCTCACTTCCACTTGGACTAAAAGTTGAATCCAAGCCCTGTTCTGGAATGAATTTAGCCGAGTCCAGCTTGTCTAGAGAGACTCTTTTGCATGCCAGCCGGATGTCTCTTGGGGGCCACTGGGCGTCGGGGACCCCGAGCCCTGCTTCTGATTCTGAACTGGGCTTTGAGCAGAACATCTCCGGGGACTGCAGTTCTCCCGATGACCTTAGAAGCAGGAACATGAGGAGAACAGAACCGAGGCTTTCTCTGACACCAAGTTCAGGGGGACAGAGTCCGGACCTGACCCAGGCCGGAGGTGTTTCGCCAGACACAGCTGATGGGAAGGCTGTGGCGGGAGAGCAGAGGATCCGCAGGCCTATGAACGCCTTCATGGTCTGGGCCAAAGATGAGAGGAAACGACTGGCCGTGCAGAACCCCGACCTGCACAATGCTGTGCTCAGCAAGATGCTAGGTAAGAACAACAAAAACCCCAATCAGGGCAAAATAAAACTGTAACCGAACCTGTATGTAGGTCATCAAAACCAATGAAACCAGACTGGTAAAATCTAGTAGGGCTGGCAACTTTTATAACGTTCAATAGAGAGAATTCTGAGAATCACCAGACTGTGATGAATTCATTTCTTGGCATTTATTTTATCTTTGTTGAGGTGTGAAATTTACCACATCAGGACGCAGTTTCCCAAAAGCATCTTGAAGCTATGATCACAGTCTTGAGATGGTTTTGGGGAATTGGGCCCTGACCAGTTTAGATAACTAAACTAACGTATCAAACTAAAGCTTTGACTTACAGGCATGTAAATTGCAAAAATCAATATTTCAGCAGTTTTTCTTTTCCCAGTATTTATAGCACAGTGGGAAAACCCCACTCCTCTGAGTCATTGTAATCTCAATAGGGGTAATCGTACCAATATATAGAGCGACATTTAAGATTCATGGTCAAAATGTCTCACTCACAAATATTTACATTTATATGATTACACAAAAAGGATATTGCATTCTTCTTTTGACAAATTATCCATCGTTTGAATATGACTTAACAGTGATACAGATTTGGTCCCATAATATTAAAATGTATATGTAGAGTATGACAGCAAATGTACAGTTTCATATGTTTAACTAGATCTAGTTAGAGTGTAAAACTCAAACTCCTCCAGGATAAATCTGTTCACCGCTGTGCATCATGTGCTCGTAATGTATGTTCTCCTCCACTGAGGGAACTACACATTTTTTTGACCACTATTTAACTGTGCAGGGGTGAGGATTTGATGAAAATAAAAGATTAAATAAAATAAATAAATACTTCATGCAAAATCTTTTCTTACAAGTAGTATAATTGAGAATAAATTCAAGAGGAGGCAGTCACATGGAGTCAGGGGTCAGGGCTAACAGTGCATTATTGATGTCGCCTTGACTTTTGCAACCTAAGTAACTTATTTTAATGCATTTTCATTTGTGTGCAAAGTGAGCAAAATAGAGTGAATCATTTTCAATTTAAAAGCTGTTAATGCCACTGAACATTTGACACATTATACTGAAAGTCTTCATGTTGATGTCAGGAATAGCACAACAAATTACTAAGATTGCATGTAGCAGTTTTTACCGACTTGCTTTTCTCTTACTATAATTAGTAACATGCTCTTTTTTCATATTACCCTCCATCAAATTCATAGCATCTCATATTCACACTTCTGCTGAACTCATCTGCAGCTTGAGATTTTTAGAGCCTCTGAGATTCAAAGCAGAAAGCGTCTGAAAGGAGGCATGAGTCTCAAACCTCTCGGCTGCTGGTGTCTACAAAGATAAGACAAACTGGAAATGTCAGCACTGAATGCAGTGTAAGCTATAAGTACATCAGATAGATGGTAACAATTCACCAGATGACAAGAATAACCACCTCAAAATTAGGCCGTTTGGAACATTTTACAGACTGTAATGTTGCAATTGCTGCTGTCGTTGTGAGGGATTTGTTTATTTAAATCAGAGCCAACACACAGGGATCTCCAGGAGCTCTGGCATCCTGGAACAACATGTATTACAACTACATTTAGGGTTCATTTTAACAGAAAATAATGTGAACGCCAACAACACTCACTGCCCGATGGATTTCGATAATCACAAGTTATTTCAATGCAAAAATGTTGTCATTTCACTGTTTCCAGTTCCTCAAATATGAATATTTGCTGAGGGTTTGGCTTCTATGATACTAAATGAACTAAATTCCTCTGGGTTTTTGGCAGTTTGTTGGACACAACAAGCAGTTTAAATATTTTAGCATGTTCTTTTGAAAATAGTGAGGAACATTTTTCACTCTCACATGATATTTCGTAGGCCGAACAATTGGTAATCAAGAAAATAATCAATAATAAAATAATCTTTACTCGCAGCCCTATCTGCGAGTCACTTAGTAAGCTAGTACAGCACTCTGCTCCAAGGTTAACTACATTGCAATATAACTATTCTCAAAGTCCTGAGGCGTAGTTATGTCATTGTGTTTTTTTTGTGGTAATATTTCAAAATAATGGTGTTGAAATAGTATTATAAAATAGTTAAAGTTCTACATTTTTTCTCATCTCATTTGGGGCGCCCCCACTTAATATTTGTGTATTTTTCCGTACCTTTCAGGTCAGTCATGGAAGGCCCTGAGTGCAACAGACAAGCGACCATTTGTGGAGGAAGCAGAACGTCTACGTGTCCAGCACCTCCAGGATCACCCGAACTACAAGTACAGGCCTCGCCGTAAAAAGACCACTAAAAAACTCAAGCGGGTTGAACCGGGGCTTCTGCTGCATAGTTTAGCCCAGGGAGGGGCACCAGGACTAGGATTAGGACCTGGTATCAGCTCCTTGGGTGCAGAAAGTGTCTCTGGAGGTTCTGCTTATGGACATCATCATCACTCCCACCACCTGCTGCATCCTCTTGGGCACTTCAGGGACTTCCAGGCCCCAGGACACTTAGAGCTGGAGAGCTATGGCCTGCCCACTCCAGAGATGTCCCCTCTGGATGTTCTGGAAGACGGAGCTGGGGATTCTGTGTTTTTCCCCCAACATATGCAAGAGGAGGCAGGGATGGGAGGTTGGAGTGGTTACCACCAGCACCTCCACCATCATAACCAACATTACAGCCACAATTACAACAACCACAGTCACCACAACGCCATAAATGGTGCAGCAACACACAGTCAGGGTTCAGGAATGAGTGTTAGCGCCGGTTTAAACACCTGTTTGAGTCCAAGTAGAGATTCCAGAGTTGATTCTAGAATGAGTTCCGTTGAGTCAAATATGACCTTGAGCATGAGCTCTAGGTTGAATCACACCTCTAGTCACCACATTGCCTTAAGAAGTCCTGTAAAGTGCCCACCACCTCTATCTGACTCCTCCTCCCCTGTCCCCTACTCCCAGCCCTCCATTATCCTTCCTGAGCTGGTTAAATCCCACCAAATGCCACATCAACCCACTGCTCCTGTCAGCTACTTCAGCCAAATGTATGGGAACAGCGCTCCAAGTGCAGCATATTACATGCCTTCTCACCTGGGGCAGCTTTCACCTCCTCCTGAAACTTCTCCTTCTTCCTGCCCATCCTCTTCCATCCCCACATCAACCTTCCCTCCGCCTTTGCACTTAGAGTCTTCAAATCTCGAGTCCTCCTGCCATTTGGGGTCTTCTTCTGCTGAGTTTTGGTCAGAGGTGGACAGGCATGAATTTGACCAGTATGTAAATGACGGAAGGAATCGCGAGGGGGCCTACGGACGTGTCGAGGGCTGTGGTGGTGGATCCAAAGTCCTGAGTGGGCGCAGTAGCAGTGATGTAGGTAGTAGCATGAATATCAGTTTAATTAACAGGGATGTCAGTAGCATTTTGAGTGGTGCTGGTGGATGTGAGGAAGGGAGCAGCCCTCTTATATCTGTTCTTTCTGATGCCAGCAGTGCTGTCTATTACAGTGCCTGTATCACTGGATAAATACTCCATCTTATCCTTTATATGTACCTCCTGGCATAATGCACACTTTGGTTTGGTTCATTTAAACCATTGTTACACAATCGGGAGGAAGTATTTGGGAAAGAATAGTTTTGGCTCATATTCTTAATCATTGCCAAGCCTTGCATAACGGTAAATGTCAAAAGTTTTTCTAAATGTGGAAAAGAAAGGTAATTTCATCATACCAACTCTTACTGGAGCCAGAGATGGGAAGAGCGAAAAAAGTTTAAAAAAATTTGCTAACTGGAAAAAAAGAAGAAATGAAACAAAATGCTTAGTTTTAAATAAATGCATTCCTGAACATGATCTTGAACAATTGGATGCCTAGCTAAGCAGCTTTAAGTCTAGATTAGACTTGCTAACATGGGTAACTTATGACCCATAAGATTGTTTGCAGGATTTGTGGGATGTGCACAAATTACTAACTCATAAGCATAAGGATTTGGCTTTTGCTGAGCAATTGCCAAATCAGCTACTAAAAAAGTATGCTGAGCTAGTGCATTGTCCTGCTCAGAGGTTACATTTTTACTTGAGTCACTTAAGGTGATTCTTAGAGATAAACACAAGACAGCTGGAGAGCACCTTAAAATAGCATTGTGTTTTTAGTTACTTATCAAGGATGCTAGGTCTCTGTGTTAGCATGTTTATGACCTGGAGGTTTTTCTGGTCAAGGGTTGTAGGATATCAACAAGCACTTATACAAGTTAAACAATTTCATTAAATGCATTGCGTGTAATCTGGTCACCAAAAAACTCTACAACTACACAAATCTCTGTGTTGTCGGGAAAGCCTTGGCCACAGACCCAGAGTAGACCACTGATGTCTCCCACAAACGATCAGGATGTTTTACAAGCCGGATCCATTTTTTTTATCACCATGATACATGCCGTTCCTTCTCTGTCTCGTTCTTTGACAGGGCCTCATGTCAAACTCCGTGCCAAAATCTGGACGTTTTAAGTTGCTTTGCTTTCTAGCAAACACAGATATGTTGATGATTCAAAGGTCATTCTTTGCAACCAGTAAGCCTCTGTGGTAGCCTATAACAAGCATACCACTTGTTTAAACAAAAATGTCTTCGTTTAAGATTAAAAAGAGTAATTTAGTCCCACAAATAACAGAAGATCGGGTTCTACAAATTAAGTGCCATTGGAAATGTCTTATTTAGTATATGAGAACAGCTACACTTTATACTTTAAAATCCATCATATCTGGCCTGGATATTTGTAGCTTCACACAAAGAAACATAAATAATGATGAGCTGGTGAACCACTCTAATTACACATTTTCCCATTCTTAACTTTCAAGGATAATAGTTCATGTTTTGAGTCTTATGATTTTTGGAAACCTTGTTTTGATGTAGCCTTTTAATGTGTGTGTGTATATATATATCATAGCTGCTGTCTATTGGCACTATGTGAAGGAGAAATTGAGACTATGAAATGTTCTCTTTGCACTGGGTTTAATGTAATAGCTGTATAGAGGCAACACTACTTATTAAAAATCAAATGTCCCTCATTTTGAATATGTTGTTGTACAGAAAGGACAGTGTTTGTTTTGTTGTTTCGTAGATTTTGTTTTATGCATTTCATTTCCTAAAAGAGTAGCTCGACATTTTAGGAAATAATTTGCTCTCTTGCTGAGAGTTAGATGAGAAGATCGATACCACTGGAGCCAGGGGGCAATCAGCATAGCTTATCGTAAAGACAGGAATCATCTTTCTTTTCTTCCAAATCAAGAAGATTTCCCAACAGGACCTCTAATATGTACTCATTAACATTTTGTATCTTATTTGTTTAATCTGTGCACAAATAGTTACATCATGTTACTCCCAGTAGAACCACAGCTTGTAGGTTGTTTCGTCCAGTTTGTGTACTAATTAACATTAAAGGTGTTAATTAAACATTTTGACTCTTTTAGGCTTGGCTGACTTTGGGCTAAACAAGTCTCTCAGTTCCAACGCCCTACTTATGCCACAGAGATGACAGTGGTAATGATATTCACACTCTCGGCAAGAAAATGTTGAACTATTAATTTAAAAATAACTAGAATTCTACAAGCATTGGATCAGTGAGTTTCTACTCGCCATCCAAAATGTTGTTTATTGTGTGTCTGTGTAAACTTGCCTTTGAAGTTAAATCTTGAATTGTAAAGATCTCTTGAGGTTCATATGGTTCTTTAATGGGTTACATGTTACACTTTGCTCTACCAGTGACACCAGCAAACCAGAAATGTTCCCTCCCACACCAATGTTATTTACCTTATGACTGGAAATGAAAATGAGAATTTGTGGTTTTGTTTCTGTTGAGAAAATAAATAAATTGTGTAGCCACTGTAGAGGTCTCTCTGTAGGTGTTTGTGTCACATCCATCCTGTAAAATGTGTGTACAGTGGGAGCAAAGTAACAGAAGTCTCTCTTCAAGGATTTATCCTGCATCTGTTCTGCATTAGTCCAACAGACAATACTTTTTTTGTACGTGAAGCAGTAGAACGAAATCGTCTATCTTGTACAGTGAAACCAGTTATACTTACCACACCGTTCCTTGTGGCCACCATTGGTTGAAAACAGAGCAATAGTATATTTTTCCTAACATTTACTCTAGAGGATGGAGCCGCAGGGAAGCAGCAGTTCAAACAAAATATTCAACAAATACTTCTACATCTGCATTTGACATTCTTTTCTGTTGAAACCAACAGAGTCTTGTTTCCATTTTAATTTACTGTGACACACAAAGAACATCAGAGAGACAGGCGTTTTTTTGGAGTACAATAACTCTGGGGCTTTTGGTAATAATTATCTGAAGAAAAAAACAAAAAGAAACACCCAAGACTTTGGGATTAAAACAAAGGACATTTTCTCAGCACTCGTATAAAGACAAATTAAAACCAGGACTTTCCCAGTGACTGTGATGCTTCTAAATCTGTATGACAGGGATGATTTCTAAATTTTCTGTATAAAATGGTTTTGTTTGTGTCTTTAAATTCTGTTTGATAAAATAATTACAAAATAAACTGTACTTGTTTAATGTAAACTGACTTGACACTATTTTGGCTGAACAACAAATCCACATTTTGTGATGTTTTTCTATCCAAAAAGAGTTTATTCTTAACATCTGAGAGCTGGCCAAGAGAACAGCAACATCTCATTCACTTTTGTCTAATGAAAGCTAATACATGTTGGTTATTCATTGCGTTAGTTTTGTAATGTATAGATTAGTGGCACACATTACAGTATATGTCGCAGTGAGGGAAAATATGGTAACCATTCATCATTCATTACTAACAACATGTCAATGTCAAAATCACAAAGTCTCTTAATGTCAAACACATTATTTTAGGTATGTTTGGGACAGTAAAATACTGTAAATCTGGTTTGGTTTATGTTATGGCAATTTCTTAAGATTGTCAAATTATGATGAAAAGACTCTCTAAACAGTTTGATTGGTTGAATAAGAGTAGTAGTCTTGTTTGAGTGAAGGCCTGAACATGGGTGATTATTTTCCTCGGCACCATTTAACTGTGAAATTACCTCATGTTTACAGTCAGGGCTCCTTTCTGTAGCCCTTCACCAATGGTGGTCTTTCTTTAAACCCACAAAGCTTTATTTTGCAACATTAGTGGAGATTCTAGAGTTTCAAAATAAATCAAGCTGACCTTTGTGGATATGTGCATAATATGGTACACAAGGCATCCAGAATATGGTCATTCTATGTGCAATAAGTATACAGTACAGTACACTCATGTGGATTGGTGTAATTCTGGGTGCCGCCACTAACCCAAAGCTGGTCAGAGAGCCGCTAACTGGAGCTGCTGAACAGCCCTCATTGGCTGAGATCTGCACCCCCAAAACCAGATTGTGAGAAAAGGTTGTAGTTTGGGTCAAAATAAGTACATTTGTTACATAAAATGAGTACGCTTGTTATGTAACTTTCGTCCGCAGCATTAGTTAAGTATAAGTCACGTAACAGAAGTTAGGTTAAATAAGTCGATGTTGACTTGGTTTAACACGAACAGTGTTCTCCTGGGTGAAAGTGTTTGTGTAACCCAACAATCCACCCCAACCTCCCCCTTCAGCAGACTTTCTCCCTTTTTATACTATGTCTGTTGCTCTGACCATCTAATAATGATGCAGATGGGTTTACATTAGAGTTAGTTGAAGTCCCGGTGTGACTCATACAGAGGCTAAAAGTGCCCCGGTGCGTCGGTATCAGATGACGAGAGGCACTGACCAGGCGTTGGTATTTGAGAATTAAAATTCTACACTTTGTTCTTCTCATTCACGCTTGTCGCAATTTTTCTGTGGTATCTTCCAGAACAAACAGTAATTGCAGTGTACACAAGTTGTGTTTCTCAATGTCTACTATGAAAGCCGTTGATGTCAGTTCTCATGTCTCCTGGTCTCCTGATGGAAATGAGGAAGACAAGAAGGAGGGGTGGGAAAAGGAGGAGAAGAGGAGAATCCAGGGGGGAGACAGAAAGACAATCACCTCAGTGTTTGTGCAGTGTTGTAATCCTCTGTGATCCGCTCTGATTCTGTCCTCTCCAGCCTCAGATCCGACGCTAAACGAGTTTGGCTCGGCGGGACAGTTTTCCCCTGAACTAACCGCCGACGGAGGCGAAAGAAAGCATTTGGAACAAGAAAAATCTGTTCTCTCATTCTCTTTTTCTGACAGTCTGTTTTCTTCCTTTTTTTTGTGTCAGTGTTTGGTCTTGTATCCCTCTCAGCCCCTCAGCCTCTGTAATTTTGTTTCTTTTTGTTCTGTTTCCCATGACTTAAATTCCCGCCTCTTGTTTTCATTCTGTCTTTGTGATGTTCTCCATCTCCATTCTGACATCTCTTTATTTGTCATCCCGTCTTCCTTTCTCTGTCCTTTCATCTCTCCTTTTTCCTATTCTCCCCATGACATTATTTTCCCCTTTATCTCTCTCCTTTCACTGTCTTTATCTCACCCCACATGTTGATACATTCCCTTTTCCCAACATTTATATTTTTCCCGCTGTTTTCTTGTTCCCCTCCTTTGTTCTCTTCCACCCAATCTTTCTTTCTCTGATATCAACCCCTTTCTTTTCTACCACTCATCTTGTATCGCTACTTTTTGTACACTTTTTATTCCTTCTTTCATCAAGTGCTCTTTTATTGATTCACCTCATCTAAACATAGACGTTCCTCCAGAAATATAAATTGATAAGAACTGATTGGGTTCTGATGAATGGTTGCACACCCTTACGGAACATTTTTGAGGGTGGAAAATATTAAAGCGAACTTTCATTTCAGAAGAATTTCGCCTGCAGAATTATGTGTTTAACCAATGACATCATTTGTTCCAACTGATTGCCGTCATTCTACATTATAATTATAAGGGAAAGTGTTTATTTTCGGAGCAATGAGCATTTGTTTACTGGGTATTGGACATTCGGACAAGTGGGCTTTTTTCGGTCCAGTGGGACATTTTTTCGCACTATTGGTGTTTCAGATTGTAGTCGACGGGCAGTTCCCTTCTCAGCACCCAATAATGTACAACAAACATAGCAACGACTACCTCAACAAACAAATAAAGGACAATTTATGGCTGGAGATCGCTCAGCAGGTGGATGGAGGATGCATGGGTCAAACAACCACAGGACTTGCAACCAGTATTGCATTTTGCAAAACATTCAAGTGAATTACATTAGTGACGTTTTCAATGTGTTTTCCGTACTTACGTCATTTTGTTTACATAAATATTTGACTTTATTCTCATAAGAATTTGAATGTGTTCTAATGACACACAGAAAGGTCAGGAAATGTCTTGCCATTTATAGCCTTCCCATTACATCGGGTTCGTATCTCTCTGTCCGTCTCCTTTTCTTCGGATCTTCCTCTCACCTTTCGTCTTATTCTTTCCACATTCCCTCTGTTTCACCCCATTAAACCTTTTTTTCACCTCAGTCCCCCACTCACTCTCGCACTAGCTGGCTTTCCCTTTCTTTTTGTCTGACTTGCAACTTTTTTATTAACATTTCCATAGGATTCAATTATCTTTTGGTTGGAGAAGTGAAGGTTGTGCATGACTTAACTGGGCTGTAAAAACCAAACTGGGGATTGCATGTGGTGTGGAGAGTGTATGTGTTTTCCTAAACCGGGTCATTTATTGTACTCAGCGTGTGTGTGAGGGTTTTTAACAGTGTGTGTGTGTGTGTTGCTGAGGTAATGACAGGAATGTGAGCAACGAAGAGGAAACTCCTGTGGAAGTTTGGGATGTTCAGAAAGGGCGTGTGTGTGTGTGTGTGTGTGTGTGTGTGTGTGTGTGTGTGTGTGTGTGGAGAGAGCGAGGAAGAGTTGTATATTTTTGTGGGAACACCTCACCCCGCTGCTCATTACCCTGACTGGAAAAGATAACACAAGGCTGGATTCCCCTTCTACAGCTGGAAATGAACACACGTGTGCTTCCAAGGTGTATACATGGTATGTGTGCATGTGTGTAAAACAAATTTAACATCAGTCTGTGTTGGTTTCTGTGCGTCACATGTTGCTGCTACAATGTTTGTATTTCACAATAAAATCATTTGAATATTCTCATAACCAAACCTGTGGAAGGTTTTTGTTCCTTCAAAAAGTCATGAACATTACATTCAACAATCTATAACACGATCCAATGTTCCAATACAACTCTTGTGACAAGGATCTATAAAGATGATGTAGAAAAGCATAAACAGCACAATACGTAAGGACATTTCACGTGTCATGTCTACACATTTTAAGCTTTTTACGTTTCATTAAGGCTCCACTCTCATTCTCAACTCGTCACATACAGAATGCACAGTCGCAGCATGGCTGACATGAATCAGCCTGGTATCACCATTTTTTTACAGGAATATATTTCTTGTTCACCAGTATGTAGCACTGATAAAATAGCAAATTCCAGATTTTGAAATGTTCATGCTTTCGAACCTGATCTTGAGGCCCTGTGTTCTTCATGAAAGTCCTTGTGTTAAGATCTAGTTTTGAAAGTTTTGTGCTTTTATGTTCCATTTTAGTTGTTGTGCTTAATCAAATGACCACAAAGCACACCTGGAAGTATCTTAGCATTAAAATACTATTCATGTTGCTCAGAGAGTGGGATGAACGGGAGGTTAATAAGGGCCTGGTATCTAATTGTTTGCCCTAAGGCCCTCTACGACGTTTATCTGCCCACATCTCGGTAGAGAATGAGTACATGATTGGTGATTTATTTATTATTGTGCTCACAGTGTGAATGCGTAGTGAGTGAGACCCAGAGACAGACATTTAAGATACATATGGAGATAGACACTGGGCAAAAGAAATGTGGAGAGGCAGAGAGAATGGAATTTGTACATCCATGTGTGAGAGAGAGAGAGAGAGAGAGAGAGAGAGAGAGAGAGAGAGAGAGAGAAAGAGAGAGAGAGAGATTTTCCCCTCTCTTTCTGTCTCTGCTCTGTGGTGTTTTATTGGCCACATGTGGTTAGGATGTCAGATCAATCACCACAACTACACACTGACTGTGTGTGTATGTGTGTGTGTGTCTGTGGTCGTCCATGTGTGCGTGATTTCACAGACTGATGTGAGACGACAGCTGGTTTACACTGCAAATGTGTTTGTTTGTGAGTTTCTGCAACTTGCAACTTCGTTGTGTGCACTGTGATGTTCTTGCATGAACGTTGGTGTATCTGTTGTGTTTATGTGTGTCCAGTATTTGCATGCATGTGGGGCTGTGTGAGTGTGTACGTGCAATTATACTGTGCGTGTAAATGACCAAAACTTTCTATTTTATGTCCATGTGGTTTTGAATTTCCAGTCTGACTCTGACCACTGAACATGAAATAATGACGTGTGTGTGTGTGTGTGCGTGTGTGTGTGTGTGTGTGTGTGTGTGTGTGTGTGTGTGTCCTACACACTGTCACATATTAAATAAGAATTGATGACAGATACAGCCAAGACTCAAAGTCTTTCTCTTGGAATTTGTGTGCAGATAAGTGACTTGTCTATGGACGTCTTTTGATATTTTCTTTTTTATCTTTAAATTTATATACATGTACATATTTTCTGTATCCATCTGACCATCTGTTTATGGGTTAGATTTGACAGAATGATTTGAGTATTTTAATGAATGCTCTTGTATGGAGATCATTGTTGAAACTGGAGCTAGATGGAATCATATGGTAATCTTCATATTAATATAAAACAGAAGATCCTTTTGGTTGCAGAGTCGTGA